TAAAACGAAAAACTCTTGCCTTGCAAAACAAATCTATCTACAAAGACTTTTTTCGTGCCTGTTAGATGGACGAAACCATATTGGATTTATTCCGGACATATTAAACATTCTAAGTAAATACAATCTGTATGAATTTCTTATAACCTATATCAGTGATGGCAACTTTCCTGATAAGCTGCAATGGAAACGTATTGTTGTAAATGCAGTATCAAAACATGATAATGACTGGCTGATTCGCATTAATTCGGACAATGACTTCAAGAGGTTCAAATATATACATAAATCCGTATCTGCAGCTCATGTGTGGAAATTCCCCTCGAACAGCTCCGAAATTCGCACTGCATTGTTTATCGGAAAACTTATATCTACCGCTCCAAATCACATTTACAAATTTTGTGAAATTTGCGACCGTCCGTTCACTGACGTTTTCGTACATGCATGCTTTGGCTGTACGTGTACATCAAATATGCACAGCACTTGGCTGGACTTAATAATAGAAAACTTTTCTCTCGACCTCTATGTTGAACTAAGTGAATGTGATGATGAATCTTTATTTACAATCTGTCTAGGAAAAAACCCTTCAACTATGATCAGTGATTCCGACTTAGATTCATTCAAGCGACTTTGCTACATCCATGTAACAAAATCTGCATCCGAATACAATCGTCAATTGAACAATATAGTATAATGTTAGCACATGTAATATCGACAGCACGCGATATAAACTATTTTGCTTCTGAACTGTTTATTGTCATTTTCATTTATATGTAAATATTACGTATTGCTCACAACTTTACCATTTATATTTTCTGTTATTAATGTATTAATTTATTGTGCATGATTATATAATTCATGTAATCTCTATTAAGAGGAAATAAAGATATGAATGAATGTTACATAAAATAAATGTTTACTGTTTAAATAAATAGTTCATTTTTATAACGTTTTAAGTTCATTAAACACCTTCATAGAATTCGAAGGATTTGAGAGATACGTCTTGTACTTTGCTTGTGTCTATCATCAGTCAAAAATAGTTGAGAAACTCACTTCAGTTGTAAATTAAGAAAACGTTACAATATGTCGTCTCACAATTTTCAATGTACAACCTATGATAAGTATTTGGTATGACGATAAATTTTCGCTTCTGTACTCGTACTCTGAACAACAAATTTATTAATTTTGTAAAAAAATGTTTTACTTCCGTACTCCTAACAACAAAACTTTACCAGTTTAAATTTACCTGTGTACGTTGTTTTATTTAACACCATTTTGTCCCAGGTTAGAGTTGTCTTTTTTGACACTCTTGCTACATCTTTTTTATTGCTACCTGAAACATCTATGTTATATAGGCACATACGTTTCAATATTGTTTTTATATTGTGTCATAGGTTACACTTATTCGTTCAGTGTATGTTTACGTGTTTTTGTTTAAATGTCTTTTTGATTGAGTTAAGCCATTTAAAGTGTGTCTGTTTATGTTGAAATGTTACACTACTGTCTCAGATTAACTTGGTGATGGTTGGCGCATGTTAAAACGTTTTAATCCCGCTGCATTTGTATGTACCTGTCCTAAGTCAGGAGCCTGTTGTTCAGTGGTTGTCGTTTGTTGGTGTGGTTCATAGATGTTTCTTGTTTCTCGTTTTTTAAATAGATTAGACCGTTGGTTTTCCTGTTTGAATTGTTTTATACTAGTCATTTTGGGGCTTTTTATAGCTTGCTGTTCGATGTGAACCAAGGTTCAGTGTTCAAAGACGTACTTCGACCTATAATTGTTAACTTTTTATACATTGTGACTTGGACGAAGAGTTGTCTCATTGGCACTCATACCACATCTTCATATTTATATTTGATATATATTTTGGAAGAATTAGCGCAAACAGAACTATCTTTAACCATCTATTATAAAATTAAGAAACTGTTTGCATTACTAGAGAGTCTAAAAAGCCTATGGGTATATGTGCATCTTCAACAATTGCCATCTGCAACATTGTAGACTAGATAATATATTACTAAAATGCCCTTTTTTGTATTTATTGTATTTGCTAATAACTTTCTGTGTTTTTGTTTATCTCGATCTGCTATAGTTTTTGCCCAAAACACAAAATTAAAATAAATTTTCCCCTATGTCATATTTAAAGCCATGTCGGTCATGTTGATTAGCATGCGGAGTCATTGGATACTTTTTTAAAACTAGACCCCAATGATAATTGTGACCAAGTTTGGTTAAATTTTTTTCCCAGTATTTTCAGAGGAGAATATTTTTTGTAAAACTTGACGGAATACCACGGATGACGACGAAGGACGACGGACGCCAAGTGATGATAAAAGCTGACTTGGCCATATGGGCAAGGTGAGCCAAAAATGAATAGTAAAATGTAATCTGCCCAGTATCACATGACTGAAACCACCAAGACTTGATGACACCTGATAGAAGCTTATGTCCTTTGGGTTGCACTTTTGTAAATATAGACAATGCATCTCCCATATGAACTCCTTTTACGGCTAAAACTGTGCAACTTTTTGTATGTTTCGTAGAAAATTATATCGTAGAACAGAAAGTTCATATGCACTACTATTTTTTTTCAAAGGTAAAAACATAGGGCTGTGCGGCATATTTTCAACATTTACATGCCTCGAACTTCTAAGAGTTTTGAACTTATACTAAAATTCTGTGCTACCCCTTCCCTTCAGTTTGGGTCTTCCTCAGAATTCAGTTTGGCCGCTATCCATGTGTAGTTATACTGGTAACATTTTCAAGTTATGTCTCTATGAGATGACATAGAGATATCATATCTTAAAACCAGTACGTAAACAAAACAAAATATCTATGAATATTATATATGTACAGTAACTAAAAGAGGCATTGTTTGTGAAACAACTGTATTTACAAAGTGCAACCTATACTAACATGTATTGAAATAAATAAATCTTGAAAAAACACTTTTACTCACAACATTACCTATTTATCAGAATCATAGCCTAAAAAAATCACTACATATACTATAACTTTTCTTTTTCAGTACATTTTATACTTCAACCCTTTTTCAATTTTTTTAAGAAATTGTAATAAGACTTGAATTATAGTCAGCTTTCCCTATGTGCATGATTTTTGACATAAAATGCCTAGAACCTGTGTGAAACTGTTCTGATAACAAATTGAAAGTATTTCAGAATACTATTAATGTAAAGTTAAGTAGTTAATCATTTCAACATTCAATATTATATAAAGTATCCAATTCTGATCTGTCTCCAGTCCTCATCTTACTGCATGCCTCTTTATCTTAAGAAATTCACACTTTCTGCCTCAAATGGTCAGTTTAGAAATATTGTCACAATAATATCATCCCTTACCATATATTTAGCATAATTTTGCTAATATACGAACTAGGAAGTGTTTAAACAAAGCCATATTTGCAAAGGTTTTATGTCTGAAGTTACTAGTTTGAAATATGAATTCATTAAACGTGTTATAGAACTAACTGCTCAAATCTGTTTTTGAATAATTTCACAGCAAGGTTATTGTTTTCTATACAAAGACCTTTAAGATAATAAAATCATAATCTTCACAGGTTAAATTATCTGTTAAATGACCAAGGGGTTAGGGATTTTTCTTTGTTTTAGCCACTGGTGCCTCCCATTTTCTAAATAATTCTGCTGTTTCTGTGAATATGGAATAATTAGTACATGTTAAGGATAGAACACACTATTGTTAGTTTTATTGAGGTATTTTTGCATCCCTAGTTTATATTTTTTTATGTCGCGATCCCAAGAAGGCAAATTCAGGTGTTCTGGCTTACTTATGGGGTTTCGACTTGACAAAAACACCCCAACAACTATATTCATCAAGGATCTATGACTTTCAATGACTGCATGGAATAAAAACAAGCACTTCTTAACAATTCAAATTACAAAGATGTATATATTATGCATTTATTTTGCATGCAAGGCTTTATGTAAAATATACATACTGTAAACTGTGAATTTCATAGTTGAGGCCCATGATTTTCTCAATCTTCCTGGAATATTTATAAAACTTTATATTTGAGTTAATTTCATTCAAATCTCAGAAGATAAACAAGATTTGGTGAAATTCTCCATGGTCTTTTTTTTCACTCACTATAATGGCGGTTTTTTTTACATTTTTTTACAATGTAATTTAATCTTTATCTATAATTATAAAATAAACAGTACTTCAAAAACTGATTTCATTAGTCGTCAATATTTTGATGACTGTTTTGTGATATTCAGATGATCGATTCATACTTTTTTAGCCTCCTCAACTGAAATAACTGTAGTGTAAATACAATAGCTTTTTGGTATACAGTTTATGTTTTACTACAAATCCAAGTTTGCATCCACAAGTAGGCTATTATTCCGAGATTTATGAATTGGGCACATTATGCAGAAAGGCTATTTACGTGTTAAACTAGTTTTTTTATTTAAACTTAGAAACTTTGCACTAAGGCGCTTAACTAGCCGGCAAATACAATTTTGTAGCCTTTGGTTTTGCTTGATTCAGGCTAATCAAAGACTCTTTGACCTGAAAAACCTGCCAACTCCAACACAATCTCATCCGTTTTATCCAGGTTATAGAACTAATGACATATAATGTTCTTACAAATGAAACAAATGAAACAAATGTCCAATTTGAACAATGGAATTTTTTTTTAGAGTAATCTATACAATTTCGTAATTATGCTCTACTATAACCACATAAAAAGGATGTACGAGTTTGATTTTCTACGGATATGTTAAGCAATGTCATGGTTAATCAACATATTAATGGAGACAGAACGCGGGTGTGCAGTTTTGAATATTTAGCCGGGGACATTTTGTACAAAAATAAACAAAAATAAAAAAAACAGCTTAGATTGTTCAGTCAGTCTCCAATCATATGATTTGGTGGATGTATGTAGTGAAACATTGAAATTGACATTAATAAAAAAAAACTAATTAAATTATCTTTTATGTTAACCTAAGTGTTTATTTCATGTTTTAAGCCTTCAACGAGTAGTCAAACAATATTCTTGGTGATGGACGCAGCTTCAAAAGGACAATTGCATAACCTGAAAGACAGGTAAATAAACATTTTTCTTACATCTTTTTTTTCCGATATATGATGTCCTTATTTTTTAGACCTGCTGTTCCTAACATAAATTTTGACCGGAACCTATCACTGACACGTCAATGTTTGACTTATCAAGATACCTCTGACCTAAGATTACCAAGTTCTATTACTAAGTAATTTTGTTTTAATTTAAACCATTTGCTGTCAGCAATTTGAATGTTTGATTACCAGGTGTTCATATGATAAAATTGTCCTGTTAAGCTGGTTTTTACCTATGATATGGTGTATCAAAAAGATAATAAAATTACATTGAATATTGCTTTCGTGTGTCACTTTTTTAGAGACATGTTCCTCTACTCTCTATTTTTAGAGACATGTTCCTCTACAGTCTATTACATGACATTATTATTTTTTATGTCTGTTAAATGTTGGGATTTTTAACAACATAATTATATTTATTCTTCAAATCTTGCTTGTTACAAATGTCACCAAGAGTCCAAGCTTCTTTTGATTTACTCTGTTACACTCCATTGATTATCCAGGGAAATAAACAGCTGATTCAACTTATTAACTTGTAAGAATGTACAATTGTCCTATACAAAGACTAATTATTGCTAAAATTCTTTTTAATTGACAATAACAATGGACATGTTGATTTATATCTATCTGTGTCTACTCTCTTTTTAAATTTATTTTCAAAAATACTATCGACATCAACAATTTTTGTTCTCTGCTCGGATACATAATATGACTTTTAGAAAGAAAAAATAAATATCGTTATAATTTAACTCAAAAAGTAATATTTACTATCTATGGTTTTATATCCAAATATAAGATGTTGTAAATTAATAAAAAATCTATTTTACTTCTTGTAAAGAGGCCATAGATTTTTTGCCAAATCTAGTCAAATATGAACAATATAGAAAATAGTGTGCATAATCTTCTTCTTGTTTACAAAATTTAAACTTATCTGTCTTAGTTATTTTCCGATGAAATAAAAGTTTTTTCGTTTGAACAATATATTGTAATAATTTCCATTTAAACATTTTTAATTTATTTTCAGTCAGATATTCAAAAATAAATTGGTACAAAGAATTTATATTTAGAGCTTCTTGTATTTCTATAATTCTAATCCATTTGTTTATCCCTATTGATGGCTCTAGTTTTATACTTATTAATGAGTTATATAACATGTCATTTGTAAATAATGGAGGTTCGGTATACTGATATTTCCATATAATCATATTTCTCTGAATATTAACTTTTCATAGCGTGCTGGTGACCTAATACGACATCTATGGGGCCAGTAAATTCCATATGGGGATTCGAGCTTCGCTCTTACCCTATATGGAATTTACTGACCCCCGTAGATATCGTCTTAGGTCACTAGCACACTATGTAACTAATAATATATAACCCAATTTCTCTAAGGGACTATTTCAAAGTAGAATGTTAGGTTTAAAATATTGATTGAAACATTTGCGTTTTATTTATTAATTTGGAAGAGCTCATGCTATCGTTTGGGGACTCATTTAACTAAACTGTGACTGCACAAAATGATTACAAAATCAATATACTGAATATCTTCTGTCATCGACATGAAAAATTAATATATCATTTAGTTTTTTTCATTTTGTAAATTTGATTATCATGCAAACAGTCTACATTTTTCCTTCTTTCAGCTTTTCATACTTTCCGATGGATAGTTGCGATTATTTCAAAAATACGCCTTTACATGTTGCTGCCTCAAAAGCCAAGTTAGAAGATGTGAATTATCTTTTAAATGAAAGGAAAGTTTCTCCATTTGTCCGAAATAGGTAAAATACCTTGACTATGATCTTGTTTTGTTTATAACTGAATGTCTCGCCTTTCCTGTACACATACTGTTTCTCTTCCTTCGACTATTATAATAAAATATCTGCCTACTAGGAAATGTCATGTGCATAGCAAATACTTGAATGGTAAAAATGTTCTATAGGTTTTTATTTAATGTCACTTCATACATGTCATACCCAAAGTGCATTGATTTAATAGAGTAGTTGATTCCGATAGCATACAGGATAGTAAAGATAATTTATACTACAATAATAAACCGATACCGTTAATAAAAAGAAAATTCTGGATTCGAGAAAAAGGAATAATCTATCATTATTTATCAAAAAGATGAACAGCTATAAACCAAAAAAGGACAAAAAAATTATGGCCAGAGCCGGGGAAAGAATCTGAGCTTAGCATGAGGGAGATGTAACTATTGTGTTACTTTTCAGTTACAAATTATATCCTTTTGGTCAATCAAATTTCATATCAAACAATATCATATTACATTTGAAGTTATTAACCTCAAATGATTTTATGTTGCAAGATTGTGTGGGGTTAACAAATATTTTATCTTATCAAATCTTGTAAATATTTTTGAAGCGGGTTGAAATATTTAGGAAATTTTAGTTCGTAATTAATTTATGCTGGATTAAGAACAGCCTAATTGTCTCTTGACATTATATTTCATTTCCAGCTTTTGGAAAACACCGATTCAATTAGTGGAAGAAAAAATTCAATATTGGCAGAAGAAGGAATTCGTGGCTGATCAAAATAATGAGAAACTTTTAAAAAATGCATCTATAAATGTTCTTAAAAATGTTAAAACATCAAGAAGACAAGACTTTGAGGAAGTTAAAAATGTACTGAATATTGCTATAAAAGACGCAAAAGAAGAAGATGTTGAAGTAAGTTTTTTTTCTAAGAAACATTTACACCAGGTTGTGTATAGATAATCTATCATAAGACATTAGATAAATAGTATTATATAAAAGAATCCAATATCTCTAGTCATAGCTTCATACATCTTATTGTAGCATGTCCTGCATTTTAATATTTGATTCGTTAAAAAAAATTAAGGATAGCAGGATTTTGTAACGGTGTACACTGTATGTCTTGATGTTGTAATTTGTAAAGGGTGTGTGACATCTCTTTCATAGTTTCCAAATAACAAATTCGATGGGAAATAAAAAGGAAATTTGAACATAAAATAACAATCTCTGAAGTGTCCTAACGCCTTCAGCAAAACAAACACGCCTCTCTACGTCGATTGTTTTGTGTGCTAAATTTTAATATTCAGCGAAATAATAAATACAGCTTTTTAATTATTGAAAAAACAACTGGAAACCTCCTGCCCGACAACATAAAAAAAATGTATAACGGATACAATAAAGGGCACACACTATATCAATGTTATACATGTTTACAAGACTCTTCGCTTGGAAAATGATTTTGAAATCACATTCTCCCTTAAAAGATGCTTAAACTAATAGAGTAAATCAGCATGTCAAATTCTTTCATGAATTAAAAAGAGATGGAAGATACTAAGTGGACATTAAAAATTCATAATATCCTACGGGAAACACCTGATTTGACTGTTGTACAGCCAGAAGCTAGTTATTACTTCAAGAATTCGGATACTTTCAAAAAATTAAACCATGAAGTGTTAACATTTTTGACTGTCTGAAATGGTCAGCTACTAGTAAATCAGCTCCCATTACTTCAAATTGCCAACAGAAAAGGGGAATAAAGAGCACGTGTAAAACATAAAATATGCTAATCATAACTCCAGAATTCACTGGTAATTTAACAGGTAAAACCTATTACACAAAATCATTTGAGCCTCTAGATTGTTCCACGAATAATGTAATATACGGAATAGAGTGTACCTTGTGTGGGCTACTTTATGTTTGTGAAACTCGACAAACATTGCGTAATCAGTCTGATAATAAAAATCCGCTATTCAGGATTCTTTATCACAATTTCATCAACCGGACCATGATCCTTCTTTATCCATGAAAGTACGCATCATGGAGAAAATTTACCACCATACTATAGCCCTATACTTAGTACGCCTTTGGGAACAGATAGAGAGAATTTCTGGATAAGGGAAATAGGTACTGCAATGCCATACGGTTGTAATGATACCATCTAAGGTAACAAGTCGAGCCTGCAGTGATGTAATTGTAATGAATTTATTCAACATTCCAAGCGTAGTCATGGTCAAAAACATTCCTATCGTCCTAACGTAAAAAAGTCTTCAAAATCTAGATCACTCACTTGGAGCGTTGATGGCCTTCTTTCACATCTGCGTCATCCGCTTGGGTTACATTACATTCTTACCATTCTTTTTTCACTTCTTGTAAACTTTTTAAAATGTTAAAGAGTTTATGCACTTGAAAAAGGATGTGTTGATATGTTTTCTCCAATATACAGACTAGTACGAAGATCAAAACCATTGCACGATGAAAATAGGAAATTCCTTCTAAATCAGTATTTGAATAAAAGAATCGATGCTATCAACATCAGCAACGTACTTCAATGATCACAAAGAAGTAACTTCTAAAATTTCGCTTTATTGTCTGTTCCTATTGTCTCCTATAGTTACACCAAACTATAGCACCTAAAACATTTAACGATAAACAAGCATTTCAAGACTTGATTTAGAAGAATACTTCAAAAAACCCTCTAACATGTGACTGTTCCCACTCTCCATATATATACCAGCCCTCTGGCCATGTAATTACTGGTCATCTAAATATAATTCAACATGAACATCTCCGGAAGTTGATATCTCATGGTCCCATTAGGGAGCCACAATACATTAATTTGAATCCTAACTTTAAAATAATAATGCATTCCGTTGAGTGTTACGCCAGAGCATGGGCAAAACGAGAAAAGGTTGAACTAGACACTGTTAGAATTGGTTATAGCAATTAGGTCGTTTATAAAACGAAGAATCCACGAGTTGAAAAACTGTGTAAATGTTCTACCTAAGTCCGTATTCAGAAACAAAGAGGCTCTGAAATTTCTCAAGTTTCTTCACGACAAATATGTTGTTGTTCCTGTGGACAAAGCTTCAACCAATAGTGTTTTTGTATGTAAATCCTATTATTATGAGTATCAAAGAATAAAAATAATTGAACACTCGGGTAATCCCACGTACAAAAATGATGTAAGTTAACCTTTGATAAAAATGAGATCTTGGCAAACCACATGTCCTTCATGGCCTCATTGAATAATCCAATGAACAACAAATCTGAGGATTTACCTTGTTTTTATACACTTCAATTTTTTCTTTTGGGATACAATTCTACATATTTTTCACGAAAATAAACATGCTCACCGAAGAACAAGTGGTCAGTATGTTGGAGGTTTTCGTCATATTTGGTGTGCATGTGGTCAGGGTTTTGATTTTTGCTCTTTTGGCAGATAGTTGAACTTTATCATTTTTGGAGTATTTACTTGCATAAAAGGTGCATAGCGTTTCCGGATAACTCCTACAGTTTGAATGCTAGGAAGTTTTACTTTGCTGGCTGTGTGTACATATATTGAAGGTCTGCATGTGGTCAGGGTATGATTTTTTATTGATATTTGCTCTTTTGGGAGATAGTTGAACTTTGTCATTTTTTGGAGTATTTACTTGCATAAGAGGTGCATAGCGTTTCCGGATAACTCCTCCTACAGTTTTCCGGGTAACTCCTCCTACAGTGAACCATAGACCTATGTATTCCCATGCGCATTATAAAATATCATTTTGCATCTGTGGGGGAATCATTTGTGTCTCCCAGACACAATAATATCTCAAAGAAAGTCCTACGTTGACTTTCTTATAATACAGCTACTTCAGAATGGAGTAAGGGGGCATCACTTTGTCTAGTCTTATTTTCATATGAGTCGGAGTTCCTTCAGACACTTGTAAAAAACATGAATATCAAAGAAGCTAGATTATTTAATTACAGGTATATTGATGATGTATGTTCTTTCCATTAACAATCCAAACTTTTCTGACTTGGTCCCATTAACATATCCTCATCAACTAGAGATTAAAAAAAACACAGTTACAGCTTCCTCTGCATCATTTCTAGACATTTACCTCGAATTTGACAACAGTAGTCATCTCAGTACCAGAATCTATGACAAACGAGACGATTTTAATGTTGAAATTATAAATTTTCCTCACCTTAGCTGCAATATACCAACTTCAGACGCGTATGGAGTGTACATTTCTAAACTCATACGATATTCAAGAGCTTGTAGCTGATACTCAGACTTTGTAAAACGTCATTGGTGTCATAGCAAAAAAATAATGAGCAATGGTTTTGTCAAAGAACGTCTCGTCCTTTTTCTCAAAAAGTTCGTCGGAAAGAACCAAGACCTAATTGATAAATATTCAGTGTCTACTTTACAAATAATACAAGATGGTCTTGAGTTATAGATTCCAGGTACTGAAGTTGTGTGTCGTTTAAGTTTACTTTAGTTTCCCCCGTTATTTGTTTTCTTGCTACAATGTTCCTTTTGGACGTATGACTTTTGACGTTACATGGTAATTATGCATCCCGCCTTCGACAACGGTTCATGCAAATAAACAGATAAATTCAAAAATTAAATTAACAGGTTATGCACATAGCCACTGTTGTGATTTTTTGTTTAATAAATCAAGACAAGGCAGTGGCATACTAATATGTAGGTGTTTTTACACAGGTTTCACAAAATTAAATCGGCATATAGGGTTGTAAATGGCGAGCAGCAAGATGCTTTTGACAGAAGGGTGTCTGTTATTAACTTTCCCTTCAGTTTTCAAGCAAGATCCTTTTCAACCCATGTATGTTAATTGAAAACGTATACCTTTAATAATTTATGAACACAATTTTGTAGAAATTTCATATAGCAAAATTTTCATTGCAACTTTCGATAGGGGATAAACAATGCTTTGTTTTTTCTTTGTCATTTTTCTTCTTGTTTCATTCTATGTCTTCTTGTAGATTGTTGCTAAAAACCTTAGTTTGTAGAGAAGATATTACCTTTCCTTACCAGCACTCATTTAAACTCGTTTAACCATATCAAATACAAAAGTGTGAATATCAGTAATATGACCCTTCAAATATTTCAGTTTAGCACCAATTTTAAAGTATTATTTGCTTTATTATTTATTCAACCAGCTATCTTAGTCTATAACTGTTAAATCACCTTTTGTAGATGGAATTTTCAACTAAAGACAAGTGTTGCAAGTTCTCAAAATCGATCAATTCAAAAGTATAGCTCCTGGTTGCATGTATGCAAGTTCCAAACTTCTATATACTCCAGATAGCAAAGTTAAACCTATTGATTAAAGCATTGTGAATAACACTGCTAAAAATGTGTTGGTCAATGGATCAAAGTACCTTAAGTTTTAACCCATAAACTTAGAAACACATTTTTAAAACTAATCACCGATTTCTTTACTTGCCATGAACAACGTGACAGGTGACACTAGTGGAATAATACCTGTTTACCTTTCCGGAACACCTGAGATCACGGGCGAAACATTTGCGCCAAATTTTGAAAAATGTCGTATTTTATTTGCACCACAGGGTTGTATTTCATTTGCACAAGACATGAACACTGCTTTTGCGCCAATTTGCTTGTAAAATATAACGGAAACGTTTAAATATGAGTTGAATCCTGAATACGATGCTCGTATAAGAAATGTTGTAGAGTATCCCTCCCCCATTGGTTAAGTAAGTTAGTTCATAGTCATTTCTCATACACAACTGAGTTTCACTTACTCTAGCTTAATTCATTCGGAGACATATAGAGAAGGAAATACGTCTGTGTTTTAAGACCTCACATTTAGGATATTTAATGTATTGAAATACGGAGACAAATCGAATAGATGTACCCCAAAAAGTTGCTACGCCAGAATCACAACACATGTGGCCAGCTTTATACTATTTACATGTATTTGGGCGCAAATGAAATGTAATATTCTAGCGTAAATGAAATATGGTTTGTGGTGCAAATGAAATACCAATTGACACAAAAGCAAAGCACTGGAGATCACATCTGGATTTTGTTTGCGATTTTTATTTTTATTTTTAGGAAGACGAAAACTTTAAGAAACACACATCAGAGCAAGAAAGGATATTTATGTTTTTAAATAAAGCATCAAAAGGCGATCTTAAAGCCATTAAAAGGTATTTTAAAATTTACCTTACATCTATCATTTATAGCAAATGAATAAACTAGGCTTTATGTTTTTTTTTTAAATTTTAAACATATTTTATTAATTATCACCTGTTACATCAACCCTAAGTTGCCAAAGGAAGCAACTAAGATGGCCCCGCATTTTTACAGTCTCATTTGTCGGGGAAAATGCAAATGAGTAAAAAAAAACTCCCATTGTAAATAATTAACATCTAACTTTGTAATTATCATCTTTCTATGTAATTATCATCTATCTATATATTTATGCATCACACCATATATAATCATTTGAATAAAGTATTAATTCTATCTGTATGTTTTTTTCTCGCAAGAGCTACCTGTATAATATTAAGCAGTTTTTATTTTATAGCACTTCACTTCGTTCTTTTGTTATGTTAATTTCTATTACATTCAATTTCTGGTCAAGTGATCTTTAAACTAGGTTTCATGAAGTTGGAAATTTGGATTTTCAACTAAAAACAAGTGTTGCAAGTTATATTTTTGAATCCAACTATTTCATAAAGAAGAAATTACTTTTCTGACTCCAACTGAAAAGTATTTCAAAAAATAATATTTGGTCAAGAGAGCGTGGTCCGCTCCCCATATCCATACCCATCCATTACGATTTGACACCCCCATATAACTATGTGGGTACATTTGTATTTATATGGTATAGGTGTTTATAAAGATAATCACTGTGGACAGTTATCTAGGTCGTTCTCGTAAGCAGTCTACATTTGCAATCCAAAAAAAAAAAACATTTGAAAATCTACCAAAATCAACAATATTACGAATTCTCAATAAGTTTTTCAGTAATATCATGGAACCTTATTTTGGTTTGCATTGTCTTAACCTTATAATAAACATAAATTGAAATCTTCATTTAAAAGTATGAATTACAGTGAAACGTTATCAAAATTGTCAGTTACCACAACATTTCCTTTCATAACTTGAAAGTTTTGAGAAAAACAAACAACTAAAACTTTGGAAAATATGGCGAGTTAAGAGAATACATTTCTGAAAAGTGAAGGAAAACGGTAGGTAGGTAGGAAATTTTAAATTTAAATTTTGAATCTACGTACAATAGCAAAGACTTCCTGGTAACTTTATTGATTCTGTGTGATCCTGTTTTCCAAATCACGAAACGGAAATTCTAAAAATAATATAGATTCAATAAAGTTCTGTGAATCTGGACAACCTTGAACGTTATTGCGATAGTATCAATCCCTGGAAAAGAATTATATACATATTCATTAAATACTTACGAGAGAACAACTTAATTGAAAACATTCGAGTCTTTTTAAATGCATTTGCTTAACCACATGTAAAAATTATGCGTCTGCATTGTTTCAAGTTTTCTTTGGAAAAATTATCACCACACAAAAGCATAAAAGCGTATAACTACTTGTTGAGCGAGAAGCAAACTGGTCAAAACAGAAATAAAGGACATATAAATCATTCTTCTATACCAGATATGTACATTTTTAAGCAAGATTTTTTTATTTCAATTGATTTTTAATGAATAGCGAGGAAACTTCTTTTTAATTGTTTCATGAATTACATTATTTTCATTTAGCAACTAACCTGAATGATTGATGTCCTAAGTTGGAAGATAAAATTAAAAGAGTACAATACAAAACAGGTTTAAACGCCAGGAAATACTGTATTGGTTATATTTGCATGATACTTCTATAGACTAGACATTAATTTCCATGATTATGTGCTTTTCAATTCTAAACGCATAAAACGTTTCTACTGCAGTCCTGTTCTTTTGCTAAGTCTTGATATGTCATATTTACGCGAAACAGATTGATGATTAGGAAATGATGTAACAAAACGTACTTCAGCAACCCACATCTTTCCAGTAACATTAATGTGGCAGAAGCTACAAAATTCATGCCCATCGAACTGATTTAAACTATTGAATTTTGATTTATAACGTATTTTAAAGAATAAATAAAACGCATATCAAAATTTCAAAAGTTCCAAAGAAAACAATAAACAATGTATGGGATCATTATAAAGTATCAACATCTCATTCGTATTTGGAAGTATAATTAACCATCGACATGACCTCCAAAAATTATTTTTTCTTCAAAATGGGAAATCAGATTTTTTTTTTTAGAAAAACGCTTCAGGGTTAAATGGTCCCCTTACGCAACCTCGTTATTCACTCCACTTCTAGATAAAAAAAAATAGTTAAGTTGCATTGGATTTCAAACCACAACAGACTATGTAATAAACAGTACGTATATCATTTTATAGCTACTTAAAGACTGATGAAGATCTCCTTCACAACAGTAATTATGACGGTCTCCTTCGCAGCAGTAATTATGACGGGAGAACTGCATTACATCTAGCTGTTGCAGAAGGCCATTATGATTTAGTTGAATTCATCATCGGAAAAATCGAGGACAGGCAAATCAATAAACCGGACAGGTAAGACCGATGTAGTTACATTATCTTGCGTGTCTTCATTTACCTGTATCCCTTTGATAATTAAAAATTCACGTATTACATTTATATTGTTATCAGTTTCTACAGAGCTTTACAAATTCGCAATTCACTTCTTAACTAACTTATTTCCAAAATCAATTTGTTTGATCTAAGCATGGAAGTAATATCAATATGATACTTTCATGACCTAAGAAAGCGTTGATAGAGACCATAGATGGCTGGATGTGTCCAGAAGGTAGTTCGTCAGATGTCTTTCGAATTACTCTTGTTTCCTTTTCTCTTTAGATTTTGTTGTTTTTTATACTGTTCGTCAGACGTGTCATCAAAACAACATTGATATAAGAGATGATAAGGTGCGTCGGGCATAGTCTAACGCGAAATAAACATCCCAGGGGTAGTTAAACTACTGCATAAGAAAAAAAGCCGCTTGATTAAAAGTTTGTCTACAAGTTGCAAAACAAATAATACTGTAAAATTGATTTCCTTATTTATTTATTTCTTACTTATATATTTTTGTTATTAAGATTGTAAAAGTTATTCTTCGTCATATAAATAAAAATCTTTTTTTGTTTATTTCTTCAGATGGGAAATTACACCTCTGCATGAAGCTTTGAAAAATGGTGATGGCGATATGATTGAACTCTTCAAAAATAACATGAAGGAGTTTGAGTTATCGTTATCGAATTGTCATTTCCATTCTCCATAATAATAATAAGTCTGATTATGAATGTTTACACTTGTATAAAATCGAAATGAACATATAATTTGTTGTATAATTTAAATGTAACAAAATGCAAATACAAGTCCTTTGTTAACATTATCATTATTTGTCTGTCTTATAAAGAGACTGTTTGTCTGTGATATAAAGGATATAGAAATGTTTAGATATAGTTTGTGTTATTAAAAAAAAGAATATTCATAAGATAATTCTTGCGTCTTTTCATTCTTCTTGAGAAGCTCGTGTATGAATTCTGCCAAATACCAATAAAGGAACTAGTCGGGAATATGGACCACATTTGGTTCCAATAACAGTTAGCAACACGTCGTCCAAAAGCAAAAAATAGGTTGTCAATACAAGAAATAGGTTGTCAATACAAAAATCAAGCATCTCAGTCTGTTAAACAGAACTGTTTGCTGTATTAGAGTTGTTTTTACAGAGTATAAATTGTCCCTTACTAACACCAGATATATGTTGGTCATTCTTTTTTATGGAACGATCTTGGGCTATTTCTTCCAAACTTTTTTAAGTTAAGAAAGAGGGATACTAGCGCAAACAAAAGATAATTCAAACGTTTTAATACTATTGCTAGAGGATAGAGACAGATTGTATGTACTCTACCTGTGACACGACCTTAATCAATTGATTCGGGCATTACAGAAAAAAGAGCAGGAAACCGATATTTTCAAACAATTTCATGTTTGCAAGGGACAAAGACAGTTCCGCCTAAATCGTTCATCACGATCGAAACATGTATATTTCAATTTGTTACATCTTGCGTTATGATCAGAACCAAATAACTTATTAATATGTTGAAGTGTTATATCGAAAAAAAAGTCCTTTAAGCTTGCTGCTATTCAAAAGAAAAAGCAACATTATGTCAATACCTATTTGTTATGACCTACAACATTTTGCGTTTCATCAGATTTTTTTTCACCAACTGTTGGTATTGATGCAGGTATACACTCTTCTTGTGATGCCAAATTACGTGACCCTGTTCTACCCTCAATGGTATATCATAATAATTATTGTCATATGGGTTAAATTCTTGTATCACTGGATATAAAGTAGTCCCAAGTTTGGGGAGTTACTAGTTCTAAATTTGAGTATCCAATGGGTTCGAAGAACCCAGACAAAATGCATTGACAATCGTCACACCTGTGTGAAACGTGAGCTAAGTGAGTGGGGTAAACCAGACCGTAACAGATTATTTTGGTGGAACTGTTTACTGGACTAAACCATGTCTCCATTTCATCTATGGCATATATAAAGGAAAGACACAACAAACGTATTCCAGTGATGGAATGGTTTTGGCATGGCAAATCGGAATATGTATGGTTAACGCGGAAGATGAAATTAGCTGCTGTGATATATCAAACTGTTGACAATAAGGACGACGAAGGGTTTTTTTCAACGACCTTGACTACCCAGAAAGGTCTTGCACGGTCGGTTATCACACCAGGAACAAAACATATAGTGCACTCGAAAGGGTTATCATGGCAATTCAGAATTAAACAGTCTTTGATGTATTTGACATTTGACCATATACTGGGGCGGGGAACGACACCCTATAAGGAAAAACCTTAGGTGCATTATGAAAGAGAGGAGAAAGATACCAAAGGGATATTCAAACTCATAAGTCGAAAATAAACTGACAACGCCATGGCTAAAACAAAAAAAGACCAATAGACAATCTTCGCAAAGAGTTTGTGCCATGAGTCTTTTAAGAATCCACAAAAATTACTAAAGGTAAAGTGTTTTACCTTTAGTCTTATTTATTGTACAGTTTAAAAGGTTCTTAAAATATTTTTGAACTGTATAGTTATACCTTACTGAATAGTTAATATGAACAATATGGACGAAATTTACCCATCTGTAGAAGGACAAAAGTTCCTGATCTTCTTGTTCACTAATTGTAATATCTGGAAATGATTTCCGAAAGGGGAAGAATGAAAATAACAATCACGATATTTCAATAATCGTCTTTTGTATCAGTAAATCATACGTATTTAGTGAATCTTGATGTGTGTTTTGGAAGTACTTAGTAGTGCAGTGATCGATATAAGAATGTTGGAAGTCATGATTTCGATAGCAGCAGACCAATTCCTTTGAGCCTTATGTAAGCAATTGTGAGCATTCTTTGATATTATTGCGTATAGTAGTTAAGATATCGTATAATGACATGAAATAAAAGACGTCTTGCTATTTTGGTGAATGTATTGAGAAAGCTAAAGGAAGTAAATCAACGATAGTGACGTTACAATTGAGCGGCGCGCTATACTGTACGTCTAGTAAGCGGACTTTACAACATCCTGGGGCCGCGCAAAAGATGAAATTTAAAATATTAAAACTACAATATTATGTGACACTTGAAAAATAACTGAAAAACTCTAAAGTCTCTGAAATGAGTTAATGTCTATGAAAAACTAAATAAAATTGCATTCACAGTCTCTGAATTAAGAATTATTTCCATTTGTCCATTTCTTAATGTTCTCCATGGCAACACTTTTAGCTTTACGGCTTAAGTTTTTAGAACTAGAAGGATAATTAAGATCACATGTATTGTCTATTATAAAGTCTCTTTTTGCTGACACTTCAAGAGGATAAAGTTTTGTAATCGGACGCGAAGTGAGTCCATTTTTGTCCGTATGACAGCAGATCTCGTTTTCCTATCACCTCCAATGTTTAATTGATCAATTACAGGTTCATCTTTGTCTCAGTGATTCTTTTTACACTTGTACAACATCTCCAATGTTGATTGTTTGATTGTCCTTCCCGGTTTTTCGATGATATTCTCGAAGAGAGGTAAGATACTCTTGCTTCCATTTGTACCAAAACTGTTGACATTTCATATTTTCGCCCCAAAGTGTTTGCATCAACATTATACCACGTACGGTAACTGGACTGATGATCCTGAGTGGATCATAAATCTTGGACGATTCTCTAAGTACTTCGCGTTTCGTGATGAGGTCTATTTCCGTGTCTAGAATATTTCCAGCATACTTTAGTGTATCGTGATCTGTATTCCAACGCAAGCCTAGCATTTTGTTGTAATAGCTTGTTATTTGATGCCCATGCGCGTAAATTGAATCCATCATCTGTAAATAAGTTGCGAATAATTTTGAAATATTGTGACAATTCATCTTCGGAATTAAAAATAGAAACAATATTGTCTACGTACAAATCTCTCATTAAATTGTCAGAAAATTCTGTCTGGTGTTTGTTGGTGTGTTTTGATAAAACAGCATTTAATATAAAGGGTGAGCAGGTGGCTCAGAATAATACAGACTTAAACCTGTAAGTCGTAATACAACTGCTTGGGTCTATTGGATTGCTTAACCAGAAAATTCTGGTGACGTCCCGGTCTTCAATATCTAGTCCAACATTGAGAAAGGCCTTTTCAATATATGTACATACGGCGTATTTATTCATGCGGAATCTTTAAAGTATTGCGGTTACATCATTTAATTTCGGAGGTACGTTACGTAAGCAATCATTTAAGCTGGCGGTGTCCGGTGTTTGTCTACAACTGCAGTCATACATGATCCTGATACGTGTAGTTGCGGAATCTTTCTTCACTATATGATGAGGGATATAATGTAAATTGGTATTTGGTTTAACTAAATCTTTCTCGACTTTCTCTATAAACCCTCGCTTTTCCTGTTCTTCGATGATTTCTCCATACTTTTGTAATAATTGAGGTTCTTTACTAAGACGTCTTATAACATTTTTTGTCCTACGCAAGGCAACTGCTTTGTTTGTCGGTAATGTCGGATGGTCGGTTTTCCAAGTTAGCTTTGCGATATACTTGTCAAGAAATGACACTGATGAGTTTTCATACATCGTTTGAAATTCGTCTAGTTCTAGTTTTCTTGCCTTCTTTACCAAGGGACTCGATTTCCCAAAACTTTGTTAGATTACATTCCTCTGTTTGATGAGACACAATAAGGTTCAATATTGAATTTTTGTTTGATTCTCTAATACTTGTCGTTGGTCCAGAAAGTAAATATCCTAATTCAGATTCGACGGCAGTCGGTCCATTACCTCTAATGATTTTATCTCCAACTATACTCCAGTAAAAATCTGCTCCAATAAGTAAGTTGGTATCAAACATGTCATCTTCGGTAATTGGGTGTGCTAATTTCAACCCACGCAAATGTCTCATGTTAACTACTGATTTCATGTGCGTTTTTAGCGGTAATGCTATTTCTGGTATGATAAGTACCTCGAGCGGTATGTTTTCTACATCGTCAGTTTGTAAGTAAATCGTTGCCGACTGCATATGCCTAACTTGTCTGTTTTGTTTTCCGAATCCAGAAAGATGAACTATTTCGGTACCGTTTATACCTAAATCTAGTTTTTTGGTGAGTACTTCTGTGACGAATGACCTCTGTGTTCCTCCGTCTAGTAAACTATTAGCATTCGTTGATTGAGTTCTTGAGCTCACGCTAGGGACAGCGGTTTCCAAAATAACATTTGATGATGTCTGTGGTGCGAGGGAGGAGTGTAATACGGTATTACCATTATCTTTGTTTACTTGTTCGTGTGATTCGTCCGGATCCACAGTCATTCTTGGTACATATACTTGTATGATGAAGTTTGTTGCATTTCTTACATGTGCATCAACGGTTGTGATTTTTGTGCAATTAACGGCTATATGCCCATTTTCGTGGCAAAAAAAAGCAAGACTTAATGTAAAGCTTTTTATTCGAAACTGACTTTTCGGGTTTTCCGAACGTTGAGTTTGAACGACACTTCATACTAGTTAAAAAGGTAGCGGTAGCGAGTGGCCTTTCAACTTTATCCGGAAATGTTCCTGCTTCCATAATATTCAGTTCGTCGAGAAACGCTTTGCGTAAATCATGTAGTGTCCAGTTTGTGGATTTGTGTTCTCGTGCTAAATTTTGATGTATCTCTGCAGGTAACTTATTTAAAATAACAGGGACTAGTAGTGATCCATACTTATCGTCTGTCTGTCCGAGTGACTCGAGACCTCTCACATAAGTTTCTGTCTTATCATAGTAACTGCGGAGGCTAGTAATTGTGTGAATTGGAGCCTGTAAATCAAGTAGGGCCTGCATGTAGGTTTGGACGTTTTTATGACTTTGCCCGTATCTTTCCTGGAGCAGTGAAATTGCTTTGTCGTAATTGGTGTTCGTCATGGAAAAACCTGTTATAGTTTGGAACGCTTCGCTTTGTATAAGGGACT